AAGTAGAGCGAATAATGAATAATATTTTATTTTAATAGTTGAGATCATGAGTCAATTGAAGCCAAACCACCATAAAAAATCTGGAAGCACCGGACAGCCGTTTCGATGGCAGTTTAATTGCTGAGTCTTCATTGTGGTTCTGGACAATATCATCAATGAATGATTCAGCCGGCCAAACATTGAAAAAAGTGAAAACAACTGACAGTTTTTTCATCCTAGTTTGTGACTCTTCATTTGTTCACATACCCCTAATGGTGAGAAAATTATGACAAACGGCTCCATATGACTTTTATTTTATTTTAGACGTGTTCATTTGTTCACATACCCCTAATGGTGAGAAAATTATGACAAACGGCTTCATATGACTTTTATTTTATTTTAGACGTGTTCACAATTATCAGCGTAGACACATAAGTCAAATTCTAAGCTAATTAATAAATTTAAAGGTTCAACTTTTCCTAATCTCATAAGGGTTTATGTAAAAAATCTTCATCGGAACATAATCAAAATTACATTTTTATTGAAACACATTTAATTTTTTCATATAATTTTTGCTATATATTTATGGTAATCAGTTGTTAAGTTAATTTCATAGTCTATTCTTCCATTTACATTTCTTTTGTTTGCTTCTGGATAGAAAATATGGAAAAATATTTTTGAGCATATAAAATCCATTATTTTTATGTAGCGGTTTTATGTGGAATGATTTAAGTTCAGCCAGTTTTATGAACAAGTAACTTATTACAAACTAGATTAGAGTGAAGTACAGCTCTGCCAATTCTTCTCAAGTTCGAAAACTATCTTATTTCCGATTAAAAACTATCACCGAACTTATCTTCTTTCTCATTATGGTTTCTCGGAATTCGAATGACATTTCAACACTGAATACTATTAGCACCAGCAGGAAAATAGCATTTATTTTGGAAATTGTAGACAGTTTTCTGTTACGCTGATCGAAACTCTAGATAAAAAATGCTACTGACTTCTAAACTAGCGGCTAGGTACTTTCTGCACACCAACTGTAAAAATGATTAGAAATGTTAGATAGGTTTGGAAAATGCATACATCACCTTAACAGTTAATTATTTTCAGTTTGGGCGGAAAATCCTTAAATTTTTAGGATCCTTAGATCTAAAGTTGAGAATAATAAACTACTTGGTAAATTTCGAGAGTTAATCTTCAGGCATGTTCAAGATAGGAGTTATTCATTAAGAATGTGCACTTCTTCATTTACAGAAAATCATATTGAAATTTTGACACATATGTTATGTAATCCTAAGCGAAATGGCTGGGACCCGTTAAAAGATGTTAACTTTTATGTGTTTTTTATTCCGACGCTGCAAAATCTGAAAATTAGTAGATAAGTTCACGCAGCACAATTTTCTAATGACGCCTATGCAAATGGCTGAACTATAATTGTCTAGCGAAAGACGAAAAGACGTGAAAAGGGACTGAAGCAGTAAAAAACGTTCGATAATTAAAGTAACTCGAAGAACAAATGTATTTAACTTATTACAAGCAATTTTGAGCCGTGTGAGATAAATATTCTCATTATTGCTTCATGTAACCACGTGGGCACCAATATAAGTAGTCCATTGATTTCTGTATGGTTCAAATCATCACTAATTGATCTAATGAATTTTTCTTGATTTGATTATAAACGTTTTTAAAGCTCGCTTTTATTTCGCTCAACATCATATGCCGAAGTGCTCATCCACTAATACACCTAGATTTAAAATCCATTAAGTAATGAATTTTACTGAAACTGAGTTGCGTTTTTACGATCTAATGATCATATATTTCTGGCTTATCTTTTCAATAACTGTTCCACAACTGCATCCTGATTCTCAGCGTTGTTCAGCAATCAGACATCTAACTGACATCACACATTCAGACTTTGTATTGACGCTGAGATGTAACCGTTGATAAACATATTAGATCAGATACATCGCTTGATGTTAATGTAGTGATTTAACAATTCCATACACTAACTTACTGATTACTGAATTAAATTTCTATACAGAACAGTTTCATCGTAATTTGTATGTTGAAAACTAATAATAAAGATTCTAAAACTTCAACTAAGTCTTTAGATAATCAGTATAATTGGAGAGCTACCGTATGACAAAACCACATTGTCTGGATAATATAGAGTACCAAGGATATCCTAGCACAAATTCAATACAAAGTTAATGATTAGAGTATTACATTCAAAAATACATTACAGACTAAATTGACGTAATTGGCTAAAACCAGCTTTATAATCGCTTATCTTTATACAGTTCATACTACTAATTAATATAAAAAAGAATGAATATTGTTTTGTTGTAAAATTGGTTACTTAGATTAAATGATATTATTTTCGTCTTGAGATTACCAGCCAATTAAATATTCTACAGAATACAGATCATAATCACTGTAATTAAAATCACCTATTAACAAGTACCATATTTAATACTTGAGATACCAATATTTGATTGACTATACATTTATTTTCGTGTCTATTTTTTTTCTCTATTCAATACAAAACTAACAGATATTATTTTGTATAAAATAAAACAAAAGCTTTAAACTTCTGCTAAAGTTTATGTAAGAAATTGAGTTGACAGATTTAAGTTCGAGATGGATTTGTATTATATCAGTTATAATTTAACAAAGAAGTTTAGAAAAAAAATCGATTTTCAATCTTGTGCACTATAATGTAATTCTTATATTTGTAGCCACTTTATTCACAGTGCTGATCAATAATAACCTTTATAATTGACTAGTCTTATTAATTGTTTCGGTTTAGGCTTTAAAAAATACGTCTAAACCTACATTATGAATAGCTTTTTTTAATTTAGGTTGTTCAGACCAATTGAAATAAAAATTATTTTTAAGAGTAAATAAATCTAATGATGTAATAATCAACAAGATCACACAAAATTTGGATACCATAGAAGAGCTACATTTTGCAAACAGTTATTTTTATTGTATGAGATCAACTACCGTTGATGAAGAAGTGAACTCTTATTCAACAATACGTATTTTTCCGATATCCTTAATAAGTTGATGAGTGAAAACGTTATAAGCAGTCGGGAATTTCCACTACGTATTTCATCAGACTACTATATTGTACTTCATCTGCTAAAAGATCACACTGAGTTGATGTAAACAGCTGTGACAAGCGTCCTGGGTTGAGCTGCTAGCTACCATTCATCTCTGCTCAAAATGCTTGTTACTTACTGGCAGTATCAAGGCCATCAGTACAGGATAGACATATGTAAAAGCAGGCTGGTCAATTAGTCTTAAAAGTCAATGACAAGATTCAAACAATCAATACAAATGAATTAAACTTTGCCCCATATCACAAGCCAGTAGCTAAGAGAATAAACCTATGGGGTTTGCAGAGAACAGTGCTTGCTTCGTGTCCCAGAGTGAGCATCAGCTCTGGGATTAAGACAAGCCCAGATGACGAGTCCCAAATAGGGCGAAAACTGAGGGAGAGTTCTTTGCTAGACACCATTGATCTTTGCTCATAAATTTGTGACCAGTGCTTTTGCAAAGGTTTCATATTTGGCCCTGAGGAAACTCACACTTATAGGGAAATGAATACTGTAAAGGGAGAATATCGAAAAACTGTGGTTGATACATCTAGTAGATGACTGGAGCATATATTTTACTTATCAACAGTTAATGGTCTGTATATAGTGATGATGATCGAGTGTGAAAGAAATCACAGGTTGCACCAGAGTTTGGACCACCCAATCCAGGGCTACAATCGTTTCGTAGATCAGTAAGCTAAATTCCGAAAGTTAGCCAACAATTTGTTTCATCTCTGCTCTCTCCACTAAGATCTCCTCTCCAAGAAGAAGCTTATATAACGAACTTTAGCTATTAACTTAGCTGTTGTACATACAATAGGTAGGATAAACATACCGAAAATACTGTCGACAGATTATCTGTTCATCTGTGTGGTTTGAAGTTTATTTCATAGAGCTTAGCATATTAGCATATTAAAGAGAATATATTGAAAACATTCAATTAATTTGGATTGATTTTACACATTACATTCACACAAAAATATAAAACTGATAACAAAGACTCTCTTCAAAACAACTACAGAAATACTTCCAGTAAAACTAAAGAAATTGTTTATTGAAATGTGACTTTTGTTAAATTTATCCATTTTTAGATTTTGATGTAAACTGTTTAACAAAATATTATTTAAATACATTTAAAGGAATTATAGAAACCAAATGGTTGGATTTACTTCATAAGTAGAACATCTGTGATAGAAAAATATCAGAGATCCAAGTGAAGCAGCTTTAAAAAGAACTAGTAATAAAAAGGGAATGAAAGAATCTAACCAGTAGTGAATATGATTTTGAACATGAAATTGGTTGGACTAGATCATTTAGGTTTGAATAAATGTGTGAGTATGACTTTATTTCTGAAAACTTTAGTACTTAAAAATGGAGATGTTCCGGTATATATATATATATATATATATATATATATACTACAACGTTATCTGACCATTTTCTATTTTTAAGCTACTACATTTTTTAATTAGGTGATTACGTATAGCCTTCAAATATTTCCAAATGATTTTCATTACAAATCGACATCATTTGTAAAGCTACTGATTAAAAAAAGCTGTTAACAACTTTTTCAATCAAACATGCGACACAGCTGTTTGGTTAGTATACTCATGTTCTCAAAAACTTTGTCAACTAATTCCATCTGGTAATAAAAGTTTTTCTCTATAGTTATATTATTCAAAATACTTAAATAATGATAGTGAATAAGTTAATAATAAAAGCTTTTATTAACTATAATCCAATGGAAGCTATCCAGAAACTAGATAATATTTATTTGTATCTTGATTTTAGTAAACAATCAAAAATAAAATGATAAAAGTTTTTAACAGTTCCCGGAAATATCAAATGCAATCAGAGTGTACTTTATAAACAAGATTATTACATTTACTGGTTAATTAATGAGTAAATTAAACTTACCAAGACAGCGTACTATTCTATGCAATTGATCAATATCAGAATCACCAGGGAATAAAGGATCACCTGTCAACATTTCTGAAGCAAGACAACCAATAGCCCAAATGTCAATTGGTCTAATGAAAAACAATAATAATAACAACAATAAGTAGTGTTCATATTACCGATAATGGATGTAGTAAATAGTTTTATTCATGCAACATAGATTATGATGCTCAAAAGATATGTTCAATGTCAGGAGAAAAGGACACAAATGGACCAAATAATAACACACCGCTGATAATAATTTGACAACTCAAGTATTATACTTTTTTCCTGTGTTTAATAGTGAACGTTTCTGTTCACTTTGACTTTCTAAGCACAGTAAAATTTACTGCTACTACTGGAGAGGCACATATGTAAACATACGGTTCCGATGAAAATGAGAACTCTTCTATCAACTCAACAAATATTGATAATTTAAAGGAAGAAAAATTCCGACTTAGGGTAAATACGTAACACTTTCTCTGCAACAAACTAATGTAACCAAGGCCTTTACTCTATTAAACCAGAAAAAAAACGAATTGTTCAATTTTCCTAATGAAGTTAAAACAAACATAGTCTTTGTATTAATAATTCCCGAAATTTACAGAGTAAACAATCAGTGAAAAATAAATTGCAGACTGTCGTGACGTTTGCAGACAAAATCATATAAATAACCCCTCACCTTAAAGACCTAAATTCCCATCGATGTTATTCAATCTAATGTATTTAACGTATATATTGATGTAGGTTACTTTCTTCACCGAAATAGTACTATTACTAGCAAGCGGATAGAAATTGTTAACAAAAACTACAAACATGTGCAAAGATAAATGTTTAAAGAATGAATATGTAGGAAGCAATCAAATAAACAATGGATTATGTTACAATTTTTTTATTTAACTACTAACTTCTAACATTTTTGGTAACTAAATATTTCATACTAGTAGCATATAATTCATCTTTTGTTTTGTGTGTAATAAATAGTTTTGTTAGTCCAGTAACTTCCTGATATTAAAACGGCCGATCTTGGATTTATTGACAGCTTTTAAAGGTGAACGAATTTCTATTGATGTAAAAAATAAATTGTAGATTGATTACAGAAGACTTATGTACGATATTGAATTAAAGATTTTAGCAACATATGTTTTACGTCAGGCCACCCTATAATTTTACCATTAGTTTTCTGAGATATATTGTACATATCATAACTAAATACTAAAAAGCTAAGTCGTATTGCTAAGCTAGACTAGACATCCAACTTGATAGTGCTATACTTTTGTGCTAGTCAATATAAAACAGTGCTGTCGTTATTTCAACTTTCCCAGATCATCATCATTCATCAAACCTTAGCTTTGTACAAAATTCACAGACGTTTCTTAAATATGTTATTCTTCTGTGACAAAGTCTAAGGTCAGGTAAAACACTTTTAGCCACAGTGACCTATGAAGTAATGTCCAACGGCCTGGAAATATTACTAAAATGGATGAGATGAAAAAGAGAAATCAAGATCAAGAATTTATACGAACCTTCGAAAATAACATCTTCCTCCGCCATCTTTGATTTTAAGACATGTCACCTCATATTCCTGTTACTGATAAAGATAACCACGAGGACTCCAACTGGATATTCTGCACTTTAGTCACGGTTCTGATCGATGATTTGTAGATTGCTGCCATGAATAGTTTTGGATTCCCACAGATTTCCTAAACCTGACTCCTATGACATTTTACTCTTTGTGTTGAGGTAGTAAGTGTCTAACAGTGAATAATAAATGTTCGACGCACATTTATAGTCTGAATAACTAAACTCTAATGTTCAGGTTTGAAAACTTATTGATATTTTGGGTGTTTTTGTTTTCGAGATTCATTCAGTGACTATGAAACTTGATATAATAGAGAATATATTGATCAAACTGGTTCTTCGATGATTTTCGCGATCAAGTTTTCGTCCTCCATTATATACTGAGATGGTCAGTGATCCTGTTTGATCAAATGAAAATAAAATCAGCTCCACTTAATGAATAAACTAATTTTTAAGGCAATCCAGAATTCGAAACTCCCAGAAACAAATGATCAGTTCATTCGCCTTTCTTTGATTTTTACTAACCGCGAACCTATTGGGGGACTTGATCTAACCTTTTATTCGGATTGCTTAGAAATATTATTTAACTGTAGACTGAATGGAGGATAGTTAAACGTTTCCTAAATGTTCTACAACCATTGTCCTAACCTGTTGTTAGGAATTTCAAGTGTAGTTCCGTTAAACCATTTTTTAACGTTACTTAATAATTGTAAATTAAAAGCAAAATTTAGTGCCATATTTATGTTGAACAAAGATATTGAATCTTAAAAACAAAAACTTTGGAAAATATTTAAAATATTTGAAGACATAGCTATTTTCTGCAAGCAGAAATTGAGATAACGAATTTTATGCTAAACATTGAATGTACAAAATAAAACTAACCTGCCATATTTTGTATCTCCCACAAGAAGTTCTGGTGCTCTGTACCATCTGGTGGCCACATAATCTGTATAAACTTCACCGGGTGCAGCAAGTGTACGTGCGAAACCGAAATCACATAATTTAACTACACCATTACGGCTGATAAGAATATTTTCGGGTTTGATGTCGCGATGAACTATCTATAAGATGAAATTTGATTGTAAAATACTGTAAAATTTTGAACACTGAAGATCATTTCAGTTTGTGTTCGCTGACCTGTTAGAACTCAAGTCCTAAAATTAGCTTAGCTTGCAAACAGCCTACAAATATACTTCGTCTTTAGACATCAGTGAAATATTCATTGCTTAGTAGTTGACTTTGAACACATAAACTTAACTTCATGGTTTCATCTTCACAATATGACAGTTTGTAATTATTTGTTTATTTTAAATCCATTTTATGTTCATTGTTTGATAAACATATGTTCATACAGTTCCATTAGCAAGTACAATCAGTGTATCCGAAGTTACTAAACAATACATCTCATATAAATAAAAAACCTCACTTCTAGATATTTCTAGCTAAAAATATATATGTGTACACAAATGTCATTTAGATAAAGTCATTGGTTTTAAATAACATCTTTATAGACTTCATGAAGTAAATTTGACTTCAAACAAATAACATATCATTGAAATTTACATAATTTCCCAAAAATTTCAAATTTCAAATTGCAAATGAAATAAATTTGAATTTGACCATATTTATAATTCTTTCAGGTCGACTTCAAGAGTATCTAGTAGGTATATTTAGACTTTTCAGCTTAGTCATGAAAATTTTATTTATCCGTAGTACAGAGTAAGAGGCGGTTTAAATTGCGTCCATCATTTAAGATTAACAGCAGCTTTACATGATTTTGGAATGTCTATATTTACAAACAACAACACGATTGATGATAGTTGTTCACTATTAAAAAAACTTTGGTGAGGCTGCTTGGAAACTTGATATGTAGTTAATGACCTAAACACCTAATCTTTGCACTTTTGGATTTATTTTTTGAGCCAATTAATGACTTTAAATTCTTAATAAAAATGCATGTTGATGAATGATATGAGAAGTTATTAAAGTTAAAGCTAAAAATTTTGGATTCACTGCAAACAACAGCCAATTTATTTCTTAGGACTCTTCTTCGACAACTCAAAGCTCCATTTTACTTCACTATGTACCATTTGATCAATTCATCCAATATCTTTTCAGCTGATTGGCTGAAAATTTCCACGACAACTGTGTTCTTTGAGTATGTGTTTTTATTTTGGCTAAAATCAACATTGATCTGAGGAAAAAAGGTTGATTACCGAGATGTAGCAGGTTTTTAAGTTTTTTCTCCTCTTCACAATTTATTTTATTTTATTAAATTTGAAAACTTCTGCTGACCGTAAAGCTTTCAACAAACAAAAGAGTAATGAAGCACAATTTTAATTCTGTAAAGTTTCACAGATGAATTTTATCACAGAAAATGACTTTCTTAATCCTTTATCCGTAGCTTTCTTAAACCACCTTAGAATTTATGAATTATGCTCATAACTTTGTCTTGATCCTTTCTTGAATCTTGCTCATGATATCGAGAGAGATCCATTTATGATTATGGTACTTCTTGCGACCCGGAACCTCTTAGCGTGTTGAAGTTGGCGCTTCGTTTATCTTCTTCCGGGTTGGTCAGTGCTTCTCTAGCTTTATTTTAGTCTTTACAACCACTAGTTGGTGATCTAAAGCTATGTTGGCCTGTCTATTTGTTCCAATGTCTCATACTGATCTTCTGAACTTTTTATTGATATAAATATGACCGAGCTAGTGGCGTCTTTTTACTAGTTATATAATAATAATAACTTATTCTCAAATAACAGATTGTTACATGAGGCATGCCGGTTTACAGGCAAGATCAAATTGTTAAGGAAGTTACAATTTTCTTTGTTGTAAATTACTCTGCTGCGTTGATATTTCATAAGATATGAATGTAAATGGATTTCATAAGAAACATGTCAATATCAATATCACACTTGGCGGACTTTATGGAGGTAGCGTTGCAACATACAACTGATGGTCGAGAATAGATACATGCGAAGTTGGGGGCTTTTAGAAGTTTCGAAATTGTATCCCTCCAGAATATCAGAAGCATTAATAACGGTGTAGGACGAAGTCACCCGTGCCATATCTGTTTTCGGTGGAGTACCTGCAGGAGGCTGAAAAAGGTGTAAGAAAAAGGAAGGACGAAAAGCAGAGCACACAATATTCATGGAGGACTAATTAAGGTATAACCATCTAGTCTATTTGTCTGTTACTGAAGTATTTATTAGGTAAGAACATACTGATGTGTTAAAGAAAAATAAGTGTGGGCAAGGTATGAGTGGATAAGGAACTGTATAAATGAAAGTAGTTCAGAAGGAAGTATGGAATTGTGTAATTATAAAATAAAGTGCTGAAAACAGTATTCCGATACAAATGGCTGTCTCTCTTTACTTTAGAAGCTGTTTGAACTCTCTTTTTTTGTTTTCAGATTTTATAGGGTATAGAGTGGGCTTCGTTTTTAGCCAATTGTCTAGTTTGCTTGTATTAGGATTACTTGGTAGGAAGTGGAACCAATTCAGCTTTTTTTAACATGATTCAAAGTGGTATTTTGCATGAATAATTTCGCATCAATACCGTTGGTTCGTGACATTCCACTAGACATAAGGAGCCGTAATTAATATGTTCTGCCCTACAGACATGGGTGGATTGAAGTTATCTCCCCACCATCACGTTTGCTGGTCAGTAACGCCACCCTCCCTCCTTTTATGATGTTAGGCTCTCTTACGTTTGTGGTTGGTATGATTATTGCTTTTATCAAGGACCATATTTGGAATACACTGTCTCTACAAGTTCCATGTTACAAGCAAATCAGATAGTAATAACATTTGTATTATGGGTTAGATATCCATTTAATATATCGTACTACTATGAAGATAACTAATGGTAAAGGTTAGAAGAGACAAGTCAGATTATATGTGGTTAAGAGATGGTAAGAGCTAATAGCAAACCAGAGGATATGATAGTAAATATTGTAAAATTTTCAGGGTAAGAAAAAATAAAACATTGAACAACTCACAAGAATTTAGGACGTATGAGCTTCTTTTGATCGGCCTTAGTTGGTCAGCATCCATAAGATTAGTGAGTTATCTGTCTACTTGTAATAAGAAAAATAAAAGGACATGACACTTAGGAAGAATAATTTGGATTTATCCATTAGAGAGATTCGGAAACTGAAAATGAGGGTTAGGAGCGGAAGGCCATGGTTAATAATCAATAAATAGTGGGGAAGGACAAAGCATGTTTTCCTTAGTTTTACTATATTCATACTAAGGACAATGGAGTTCGTTATATTCTTGATCCGTCTAGATATTGGGTGGTCCATAATAAAGTGCCTTATTGGTAGGCGGGAGTTCAAGGAATAGTTGGTGAAGTTTTTTAGAGTTTAGTAACAGGGTTATTAGCCTTTTAAATTTGGCAAAGGTGTCACAGTTAAGGATAGGTATTGGCAACCTGTTTCACAATAAACTATACCGAACTGTAAAAAACTTACAACGCATTTGTTTTTGGTGTTTTTCGGTAAATAGTGTATATGCATTGTTTCTTAGTCTATAGGCTGGGTCATTGATCATAGTTGGACAGGAGGTTAGGAATGACAGTCCATTTATTGCTTTGTAGAGAAATATCAGATTGTTCCTTAACCTACGGTGCCATAAAGGTTCTAAATAGAGGTGCTTACATCTACTTGTGTAATCAAAAGTGGTGTCACTTCCTAGCAGTTGGCGTGTAAAGCGTCTTTGAACATCTTCTACTCTTATTTTGTCAGTGGTATTCATATTAGAGAAGATGAAAGAGCAGTATTCTAAGGAAGGTCGTACACATATTTTGTAGAGGGTAAGCTTGGCATCTGTCGTGAAGAAATTTTTTGTTATGAAGCCCATTAGACGTCTGGCTTTAGAAATAATAAAGGAGGCGTATGCTTTAAAGTTTAGGCTTCCTGTGTAATTTATTCCTAGATCGTATACTGAATTAAGTGTCTGGACTTTACTTTTATTTAAGTAAAGTTGGGGTTCATAGGGTTGCTTTCCAAAGTGCATGATCCCGCATTTGTGGAGGTTAAATGGTAATTACCACTTTTCGCTCCAGATAGTTAGGTTATTGAGATCATCTTGAATCAGGCGTACACTTTCACTTAGAGCCTCAGGCTTATAGCTGTATACTATTTTGAGATCATCAGCATATAAGTATGGTTTCCCAGATTTTATGATGTTACATATATCGTTTATATACATGAGAAACAAAAGTGGGCCTAATACACTTCCCTGGATGACGCCACTAGTTATTGGTCTAGGTAATGAGAGACAGTCGTTGTACCATTTGTTTACGTCCCTTTAAGAATGAAACAAACCATGAATAGAGTGGGTTGTTGATTCCGAAGGACCGTAGTTTGGCTAGTAGCCGATTGTGTGGAACCATATCAAAAGCTTTCCTAAAGTCTAAAAATATGACTGATACAAGGAGTCCATTGTCTCGTTTCAGAGTTATATCATTCATGTAGTCCACTAGGCATGTATCACATGATCTGGACCTAAGAAATCCATGTTGGGAGACCGAGATGAGATTATTAGTAATTACATGTTGGACTAACGCCGCCTTAACTACTTTCTCCATCACTCTAGACACCACTGAAGTTATGTTTGTGGGTCGGTAATTTTCAACATTTGCTTCAGGTCCTGTTTTAATTTTGGGAATGATGTGTGTAGTTTTCCAGGCAGTAGGGTAATGCGCTGTAGAGAGTGATATTGCAAATAGTTTGAGTAATAAAACACACATATCATCGCCTCCACGTTTTAGCATGCTAGCCGGAATACCATCTGGTCCATCAGTGTAGTAGTGTTTCAGTGTACTAATTGCCTTAGAGATATTCTGTACATTGAAGTCTACGTTAGTAATCTCACAGGCAGATGCTGTGATAAGTTCTGAATCATTAAGTGGTTTTTCATCAGTTAATGAGGAACAAAGTGTTCACTAAATAGTTCCGTAACAAGTTTAGGATCTTCGTATACTTGTTAGTCTTTAATAAATATGTTTCCTCTCGACTTAGAACGTTTAAGTTTATTTTGAAAGTGTGGTGAGTGCTGAGTTATTACTAAGTTCGACAGCACGTTTTTCCTGTTCGATTGCTTTTTGTGTACTTATTGCGTCTGTCTGGACAAGTATTTCTGTCATCGTTACTAAAGAGGAGAAATCATTAGAGTTGTAGAAGCGAGTACAATGTCTCTCCAGACGTCTTCGTGTACCGACCGGTATATACAGATCTTTAGAAAACTTAGGTCTCCAGTACTCTAAAGGTGCGATTTTGTTGATGATACTTTCGATGTTGTGATAAAATATATTGGTTAGTGTGTCGGTATTGTTTGCAGTAAATAATGTTCCCCAGTCAGTGCTTCTTAGGTAATTGTGAAAATTATTCCAATCTACCTTGCGATAGTTTCTACGAAGGGTTACATTTTTACGTCTACCGTTTGTGTTTTTTATATTAAGGCTACATACGACAGTGTTATGATCACTACCTGGAAACTTTTTTCCAATATACACAGTATTGGGGGTGAGGTCACTGGTAAAGACTAAGTCCAAGATATTCTGATGTCTGGTAGGGCTACTAACATATTGAGTCCACTGTCCTAGTTCTAGACATTCAATAAATGATTCATAACGTTTCGGAGCTTTGACTGGAAACCAAGAAATTTCAGGCATGTTGAAGTCACCACAAATGAGCTTGCCTGTGAATGGAAGGGATGATGCTAGTGTGAATACCTCTGATAATACTGCTATTTTACCTATTGCCAAGTTAGGTTGCTGGTAGATGCAGCCGAACAGTAAGGTAATGGGATTTGATGGCTTTAAAACAATCCACACCGAGTCCTTCAGTTTGTTTAGTTCAGTCATATTGCATAGTAGTGAGTTTAAGCTAGAGTGAGCATAAATAAGACATCCTCCGCCTAGTCCTTTCAATCTATCGCTTCTATATAGGAGGTAGTTATCAAGAGATATACTTAGATCGGAAATATTACTGTTAGTCCATGCTTCAGATATCAATATAAGTGATGGTTGATATATGGAAGCAAACAGAGCTAAATCAGTCCTTTTATTGCAGATCGACCTAGCGTTGATAAGACACATATTAAACAAGTGGCCTACTAAGTTAAAGTGAGTGAGAGTATCTCGATTAAAGATGTCATGACCCTCGCGTAAGTGATGTATGTTTGAAGTAATGGATTGAGCTTTTTTCAATAGCTCTGTATCTTGATAGCTAGAGTTACTGGGGCATGTATCAAATGAGCTAGTGAAGTTGCTTGGGGAGTTTATCCAGGAGGAAAGGGTGGGAGTACTTTCTGATGCGAAATGTACGGGGGAAGCGATTTTATGTTCCGCACTTGGTTTGAAATGACTAGGGCTATATGCTTCAACAGGGGTGCAACTAAGGGCCTTATTCCAAAAAAATCTGGTACATGTTGACTGTAAAGCGTACTGTTATTTGCAAGACAGTTTTGATGGTTAAGCTCGTAGCCTCTGTTATAACTATTTGCGCTAGTGCGAGCATGAGAGGGGTCTGATGCTCGTAACTGGAAGTGGTTACGACTGTTGTTATATATGGAGGCTGTCTTCATGTGGTGGGTTGATACTGGAAAGTTCTCATTCTGAGAGTAATTACAATTGTGATTCTGGGGAATGTACATAGGGTGTGGGGTGAGGAACCTGTAATTACCATGCTTATTAACGGT